TTGCTCGGAGGGCGTCGTCCGAGAGTGCGGTCGCAAGTCTGCGAGAGACCGCTGATGCTCGCCGAGTGATATCGTTCCTACCTCTCATCACCCTGCCTGCTGTCATCATGGCGGCACGGAGAGCACCACAGCGATACAGGGTGCCCGTGTTTGTAGCGAGCCTGGTCACCTTCAGCATCGTGTCAAACGTGATGTATAATACACGGCGAGGTGAGGAGTGAGTGTGAGCTGTGAGGGACGGCGCAGCGAGGGCTGCTGGTGGCTGAGACTTCATTGCGTCAGAGAGCCGTGTGTACACGGATGACTGTGAAAATCGTAACATTTTCTAACCCGACTCCCGAGCCACCGTACGAGGTGTGTGAGAGAATTTGAGTTCGGCAGTTACATGCGTGTTCGAGTGTGAGACGTGAGACCACTCAGTGAGAGAGACCCCGACAGCGCGACAGCGACACAGTCACAGACAGGGAGCAAAATATTGAGAGCGGAGTAGACTGTCCTGCAGAGCGATACATCGTACATACGCCCCCGCGGTGTGCGAGCCGGTGCCCTCAGCTCTGCGCTCTCCGTCGCATTAGTCTCATACCGACAGATTAAATCCGCTCGCGATCTCTGGGAGTGCTCTCCACAGCACGTCCGACGAAGAGAGAACCTCCTGCCCAAGCGGTCGCCCGCGCGCGCGCGTGAGCGCTGGCCACGCACAGTCGTTCTCTCGCGAGGTAGAGGAATTTTAGCAATACCAAACAACTATAACACTCACACATCAATTGTCCCGTGGATGTCCTTCATGTACACATGCGCGACGCCAGAGTTGTCAGACGCAACCCAAAAGGCAGACTCTGCGGGTACCCAGACTCTGCCCGCACCAGGCCTAGCTAGCGCGCAGCGGTGGCGACGATGCCTGGCTGCGGGGCCGCGTCCATTGCGTAGCGGACGCGGCTCTCGATGTACCGCCGCCGCTCACGCGGCCCCTCCAGGCGGTGCCACTCAAAGTATGGAACCTATGCACACGCGGGGCGCCGTGCGATGGGGCGTGCTCTCTCACAGCTCGCTGGGCGGTGCTGCTCGAAAGTGGGGTACGTTTATCACGCGCCAACCGGCCGCCATCAGCTGGCGCCGCTTGAGCAGGGTGGGGCCGCTCGGCACTTGCTGGCCCAGCAGGTCGAGGGAGCAGCAAAAGTGCGTCGGGCCGTCGACCTACGCGCCCCAGCACGCAGTGTCACCACACCCCGTGCTCGGCGGGGCGGACTGCGGTGGGCGGACTGCGGGAGCCGCCTCGACTGCGATTCGCATCGCTCGCGACGCAAAGTCGAGTGAGTAGAGGGTCTGCGGGTCGATGATTTCGCTCTCAAAGTCGTCGCACGACTCGTGGAGCGTCCTCCCGACGGCGCATTGCAATTCCGACACCGTCGTGCATCCCATCGCGATTGCGTCGCGGCACGCCTGCTGCAGCTTGGCCGGGAGTATCGACTGCGCCAGCCTCGGATCCTGTCACGGATGTGTCGCGGACGCGTCATCGGATGTACCGTGGGTGTGCCGGGGAGGCTGCAGAGGCAGAGGGTGGGCCGACGGAGCAACGGGCGCTCGGATAGCTGGAGAGGGGTAGCGAGGGATCGAAAGCGTCCCGCACCATCCAGGCGCGGCCCTCGAGGGAGAGCCACAGCTGCCATTGGTGCAGCTGGGTGCGCGTGCAGGCGCCCCATTCGCCGGGGTCCTGATTGAGCGAGCGCATGATATACTTCGAGCACGTCAGCAGCAGGTCCGGCTCCACCACATCGGAGATCGCGAACGCCCACACCGTGTTGGAGATGTTTTGCGGCGTGAAACCATGCAGCTCGGTGTGCACCTGCCGGTAAGACGGAGGCAGCGCTCGGCGCGCGGCGCGCCGAGGGCTGGCAGCCGGCAAGCGGTGGGGTGGCATTGCAGAGGGTGCAACGCGGTCTAGACGGTGCGGGCGATCCGGGCAGGGGCCTCACCGCCATCCTCGCGACCGCCACGAAGAGCTCGTTCGCCTCGATACCCACCGTCGCGTACGCCCACACGATGTTGACGAGCGCCTGCGGCACGAACCCCTGCAGCCCATCGCGCAGCACTGCCTCGGCCAGCGCAGCAAACAGCGCCTGCGAGCGCACGCCCGACGTCGCGAACGCCCACGCCAGGTTGGACGCCTCTTGGGGCTTGAAGTCTTGCAGCCCCTGCCGAAGCGCCGCCTCCGCCACCGCGGCATACAGCTCGTCGGCCTGGACGCCCGCTGTCGCGTAGGCCCAGACGAGGTTACTGAGCTCCTGCGGCTTGAACCCCGGCAGTCCACTGCGCAGCACGGCAGCGACGGCGTTGAACAGGTTTGCGGCGAACACGCCGGCCATCGCGAACGCCCACACCATGTTTGAGAGATTCTGGGGGAAGAAGCCGTGCAGATCGCGGCCCACCGTAGCGTCGGCCAGCGCGGTGAAGAGTGCATCCGCCCGGAAGCCCACCGTTGCGTACGCCCATGCGAGGTTGGAGATGTTTTGCGCCTGGTCGGCGGGGGCGGGGGCGGGGGCGGGGGCGGGGGCGAGGGGCGAGGGTGAGCAGCGGGAGCGAGCGGCGCGAGCGGCGGTGGTGCGGCGCGAGCCGCGAGGGCGAGCAGCGAAGTCGAACAGCAGCGGAGCCGAGGGAGTGCGAGGTCGAGGGCTAGCGGCGAGAGCAGGCGGCGAGACGAGGGCGACGGAGAGGGGCGGGCCGGGTTGGTGCGCGCCTGGTACTCATAGAGCCCACCCTGCGCCGCATGCGCTGTCACGGCCGCGGCGGCCGAACTGAACAACGAGTCCGTCCTCCTCCCCGCAGTCGCATAAGCCCACACGATGTTGGAGAGGTTTTGCGGCGAAAAGCCTCGAAGCTTGCGGCGCAACGCAGCATCGGCGATTGCCGCATAGAGGCTGTCTGCCTGCACGCCAGCAGTCGCGTATGCCCAGGCGAGGTTGGACAGATTCTGCGCCTCGTAGCTATCGAGCCCGCGGGGCGATGAGGCCACCTCGCGCTCGACTGCTGCGAAGAGCGCGTCCGCACGCACTCTCGCGGTAGCGTACGCCCAGATGAGGTTGGAAAGGGCCTGGGGCGCCCAACCCTCCAACCCGCTGCGCAACGCCACCTCTGCGACCGCCGTGAGGAGCGCCTTCACTTCTGGCAACTGCAAGCCCGACTTGGCGACGCCGTGCGCGACGTTGGAGTGCGCCCGCGAGTTAAACGAGGAGACCACCATGGCGGTCCACTGCAACAGCGACGCTAGCCGCGGTTGGTGGTGAGGCGTCAGGATGTCTCGCTGCCTACAGAGTAGCATCGCAAAGGTGCTTCGAGGCACGGCTGTGCCCGCATCTCTCTCGCACGGGATCGGGGCTGTCAGTGCACAGGGCGGAGAGCAATGCTGGGGAGTGGAGAGTACTACGGTGGTGGGGGGCTGGGGGAGGTGGGGGTGATGACTGTGCCTGCCCAGCTTGTTCCACAAGTTCCCGACGTGGAAGTGGTTGAGGATCGTCAGATGCTCCTCCGCCAAGTCGAGCAGCACCTTGCATCCGGCGGTGGCACGCGTGAGCGAGTGTTTGGCGGTTCAGGCCAGGCATCAGCTGTAGCAGGGCGGGGCTGGGCGGGCGCGGGTGCGTGGAGATCGCACCTCCGTGCTGGTTGCGTTTGAGATGTACGAGCTCAGCTGCTTGGCGTTGAGCGGCGGCCGGTCCGATCTCGGTCGGCCTGGCAGCCGCGGCGGCGCTGGAGCCACGTCCTCGCGCATGATCGGGCCGGCGAATGTCGGACCATATGCGCTGTACAGATGCGAGCTCGGATAATACGGCCAGCTTTTCTGCGAATGCGTTACTATAGCGCTGTCCATCGGTCCCCAGTGCCCCTGCCAGGGCCACCAGCCGTCTTGGGCCGGCAGCCGCGGGGACCGCACGCGGCCACCAACGGGACTGTGCTGCAGCTCCTCGCGGGAGCGCGGCGACTTGTTGGCCGTCGTGCGGCACGTCGCACCGCCGCCAGTGCCAGCCTGGCGGCGGGCCGACGGCTCGCCAATGGCGGGGCCGATCTTGCCCGTCCTGGAGTCAGCCCCGACTGGCCCTCGATGAGGTATACTCCGACCTCTGTCCTAATTCTCCAGCGGCCGTCCATTACTCGGAACTAATGAGGCCAAATGACCGCTCATTCTTTCTCAATGTTGACGGGTTGCAACTCCGAAGACAGCCCTTCCGTTCATTTCGTCCTCATTTTTGTCGGAAAACGTAAAACCCGCGTCCAGCAACTCGCGTCCAGCCAGCGAAATGACTGTGAATGAAAAGAACGAGGAAGACAGAGAGGACGTGTGAGGCTGTGAGATTTTGTTTTGTTGTTGAATGAATGTGAAGGGTGGAGGAAGGGGGGGGGGGGGGGGAGCTGTGTGCTGTCCACCTCCTGTGAGGGCTGAGGGGGGTCGTGGGTGGGTGGGTGGGGGGGGGGGGTCGGCAGCGAGAAAAACATTCTTTCAAGGGTAATTGACTGTAGGTATATTGTTGATTGTTGGCAAGTCAGGACCCAGTCCCAGAGCTCACACAAATTCACAGTGGGAGGAAAGCGGCGAGTCGCAATTCCAGGGGTCGTTGTGTTCAAGGACACTGCTGGCTGCCAGCGATGTTGGATCTCTGTTTCCCCACAGCACGCCCCAATCAAACAAGCTGGTCGAGAAACTCTGAGGGAATCCCCACTGCGGGACGCGGACACGAAAGGTGTGTAGACCCCAGTTCCGGCGGACGCAGCGAGCGTCGGGACTCCGTCCCAGCAGACGAAGTCTTCCTCGTGGGCTCCACGGCCCGGATCGCGAGCTCGATCGATACGCGACGCGCTCGGCCTCCGCTGGCGGCTGCCGCAAGAGCGGCTGGCTCACGGCAGCGTCTCGCCGGTTGCCGGATAGGAGAGTACAGAACGTCTGGAGTGTAACTGTGTACGTGAGATCGGTTTTGATAACAAGCACGGTCGATCCGTCAAAGCGATACACTCGTTCCTATCTCGCTGGAGGGCTGGCACGGAGCTCTGTGCCGACAAACAGGAAGAGCCGAGCGGCAAGAAGGGCTCGATGGGGAGCGAGAAGCGTCAGAAGAGCTTGAGGTGTAACCTGAAGTCCGTCGTGACGCTCTTGTTTCCGCCCAGGTTTGACCGCGCAGCTTCCAAAACTCGACGATATCTTCCGGAAAGACTGAACGTCCCGCAGAGCGGCAGCATGAGAGGCGCAGAGAGGCTGCGAGTGCTCGACGAGTCTTGCGAGCTGCGCGTTCAAAGCCGGGGGGGAACCGACCGCATCAGGGTGGACTTCCGAAACCTCCGTGAGCACTTTTGACCGTTCTCCCTCCCCATCCGAGCCATTCCTGCAGCTCGGCTCTTCCTGTTTGT